CTTCCAGTAAGGTTTCTGTGCGAACAGTACAGAGACTGCCCTGATTAAGGTGTTCAATGACATCTGTATAAATTCAGATTCTGGAAGAAACAAGGTGCTGATATTATAGCACCTCAGTGTAGCATTTGATACCCTTAATCACTTGATTTTAATTAGGATTTTAATTGGCCTTTGTGGTACCGCATTGGACTAGTTTAAATTCTACCTGAAGAATAGAGAAAAATCACATGCAGGGTTCCTCAAGGCTCCATTTTGGGGCCCCTCCTATTCAACATCTTCATGCTCCACTTAGAGCAGATTATAGAAAACAAGAGTCAGATACAATAACTATGCAGACGACACACTAGAGTCCTGCAACGGGTCGGGTACCCGCGGGTTTCCAACGGGTCACCCACTAAAATGCTCTTTTGCGGGTGAAAAATACATAAATAAAAATAAACGGGTCGGGCGGATATTTTTTTAGTGCGGGCAGGTAGTTGGTGATTTTTTTTTTATGCGTGTGTTTTGTTATGGACATCAGAAATGTTATATTAATCAGGCACTGGGGTCACCCTTGTTGTAGCTTAAAGCCCTGCCTGCAGTGTGGGCTTCCCTCCAAAAAGGCCACAGTCAGTGCATACACGTCTGCTGCAGTGTTAATGGCGCTGTTCTGCAGCGCAGCGTACTATAGCCAATTACTTGATGTGTTAACGGGTCGGGTTGCGGTTTAAATTTTAACGGGTCGGGTCGGGTTCGGATTTGAATTGAAGATATCCGCGGGTGATGGGTCGGGTTCGGTAGTCATCCTAACGGGTTTGGGCGGGTGCGGGTTGGTAAAACTCGACCCGTGCAGGACTCTACGACACACAGCTTTACATCATGTCAGCAGGTGACTATGAACCCATCGGAGCGTTGAATAGATGCTTACAACAGATCAATATGTGTTCTTAACCCATTTGTTTAGAACTGCATTTGACTGTTGAAATGAAGCTGTTAACTGAGGTACTATAATTGTTTTTACTTTGCTTTGCTTTTCTTCTATTTTATTGTCTAATGAAGGTAAAGCATTTTTAATTGTTCATATATTGAATTGTACTATAAAAATTAACTTGCCCTGCCTTGCCTTGAAAGGTAGGTTCACACAGCTGCATGCAGTATGACAGTTCTGCTACCAATGTTCCCCCTGTAAGAATATTTGTAAAATAATCACCGGATTAAATAAAATTATGAATAAAAAAGAAACATCTGCAGCTACATATCCATTCCATGACATTGATGATGAAAACTATCAGGACCGTCTAGCTAGATTAACTGGAAACATCTTCCCCTTTCACTGTGTCTGGCGCATGCCCAAGGGGGAGATTTTTTTTAGCTTTTTTTTAAATATTTGAACTGTATGAACTGTATTTTTTTCCCTAAAGCCCATCTTGTTAATTTGGGTCAACATTCTGCCTTATCAGCACATAAACACCAATGTTTCTGCCCTAACAACTCAAGGAGACACAAATCGCTTTTTTTGTTTCCATGAAATTAGAAACAAGGTCATATTCAATATATTACTTTTTTAGGGATTATGGTCATAAACTGTTTATCAGTTTAAAACTATTGTATTTATGCTTTGGAAGGAAAGTTAATTACGTTGTTATGATACAGAAATATAAACAGTAAATATTTCTTGTTTCTCTGTCTTCAACTGGTAGGATTTACTACTTATTTAGCAACATGTCAGGGCTAAAGGCTCAGTTATGCTTGATGCTCTGTGCAGAAATGAATGTTTGAACACAACGTCTAAAGTTTTCATAATTATTTTGCCTTTCCGCCAACACTTGATATTCTTACCAACTCTAGGGAGCATCATGGCACAGACTGCAAGCTTAGAACACCACACAACAGGTAGAAGTAGAAAACACTGCGAATTCCATCATTTTCAAAGCCTCTTTTTGTCATCCACTGCGCTCATCCTATATGCTGATTGTAGCAGTATTTATGGCCCATATCATAAGATGTCTGATGTTTACATTTACATATCCTTGCCAGTAGGAGCTGTCACCTCTCCACCATGTTTTTCCTCGTAGAGCGAAATATTCCAGGGTAATAGTGTGGAAAATGAGTGTGCAAACAAAAAATTAGTGGGAAATGAGTCTGTGCAAATGTCGGGGGTGCTAATATGATGTATTTTAGCTGCGCAGACGCATCCAGTATAAACCAGGCTTAAAGATATATATAATAATAAAAACTTAAGCTTCCTTTTATTCTCTGCATCATTCTCTTACATTTCTAAGAAAATTGATATGGTTAGGCTACAAAGGACTTTTTTGTATCACATCTACTGTATATCAGTGTGGTGCATTGGTCATTCAAACTCTAAAATGGGCTGTGCCTAAAATTATTGTAACTTTTTTTTCTTTAAACAAGCCATTTTGAGCCTTTGGACAATCTGAGGCATATTCACTTAGTGGTTCTCAAGCTAGAACCGAACAAGAGCAGCCATTCTATTTTCTCATTGAAAGAAATCATTGCTTAAAATTAAAAGGACAAAAAGTCTGGATGATTGTAATTTTTTTTATTTTTATTTAACAGTAACTGGCTAAATGAAAGGTAAACCTGGGTAAAAAAGAAAAATATGCAGATAAGCAGTCAAATTAGTTTGAATTGTTTGATCTTAGAGTAAAACAAAATGAAAAACTGTAAAACAAATGGCTTGTTTCTATCCAAATTGTGGAGAATTTCCAAAAAGCCTGAAGAAAAAGAAACAACAAGGTTATGCTTTTATTGTCCATCGTTCATTCCTTTGCATTATGAGAAACAGAAATGCTGTTAATAATTTTCAACAGCTTTTTCCCCCACAAATAGCAAAAGTGATTATATTATCAAGATTACTTCACTGTATGTTTAATTAATGACAATGTCCCACTGGAGGAACTATCTGCTGGTTTGAAAATGCCTTAGGCTTCCCCCAGAGGAGCTGGACCAGTAGTCAAGGGAGAGGGAAGTCCATGAGGAGACTGCTGCCCCTCTGTTCCAGTTCAGATAAGCCAAAGAAAATGAGAGTACAAGTAAATATGAGTTTCAGTACGAGATCCCATGGAAAAACATGAAATATCTTTTTGTTTACTTTAAAAGTGTCCCAGAGGAATTTTGATTTGCATCTAATCAGTCATGTACAAACCCTGAATTTATTATAAAGTGTAAAGGAACCTTAAAATATTTATAAATGATAATAATTTCAGAGGAAAGTTTAAATTTATATGTGATCTAATCTATAGATCAATGATAATGAATTTAATTAGTAAGGGGTGGGCAGGCACAGAGCAAATCATCGGAGGGCAGCAAGGGCATATCAAAGAAAGCAGAATTAATGAGTATTTTAAGCTACTTAGCATAAACATCTGTAACCAGAAATATGTTAAATGTCTTATAATCATTCTGAATATCGAGTCTTGCAGGTTGCTTTATGGTTTTGTTTGAATCACTTATGGTTTGCCACATTCTGATATTTTTACCCTTTGGAGTTAACCATATTAGTTCAGTTTGTATGTTTTCACAGGTGTTTTATATATCAATTTCTCTTACTTTATCTAGTAACTCTTTTTGTATTTTTTGATAGCTTCTATTAGTTATTATTATTATTAGTTTCATTAGTTTTTTTATTATTTTTATTATTATTATTAGTTTTTTTTGTCAAATTTTTATTGTTTTCCCCATTTCCACACCTGATAATAAGAAGCCCCAGTCTTTAATAACTGTTTGTTTTATTCCTTTAAACTTCTATATTGTTTTCATATAATTTTAACTTTACTTTGCATTTACAGCAAAAAATTGAGTTGAGTTTTTCCTCTGCTGATAATTTACATCTGTTATTGAAGCCTTCAGTCAGCTGCTAGTATTCATCAAGTCCAGTGTTTTTTCTGTTACCGTTACTTACCATGTTGCCTCTGAGCATATGTGCGCATTTTCATGACATTGAAGGCGTCAACAGGGCTACATGTATGGAAATGAAGTCTGTTTGGTCTTTTATGGATTTAGTCACTTTACTTATATCTTATAAACTTCCCGTTGTGAATTATTAATCATTTATCTCTCAAATGTGGCCCCAAACATGGACACATTTATTTTCCTTCCCCACGTGTCACATGCCTTAGTTAATTTTTGTTCTGACTGGTTATCAATTTATCTTTTCTGCTAAAGCCTTTCAGAAATTAAAACTATACTGAGATGGTAAATTTAGCTCCTGTTTTACAGCCGCCTAGGAAGATGATGTATTTAGCTCTCAAAAATTATGGTTCTTTACCATTTGAAAACTTTCTTTCAACCAGATGTTTTATGTGTATATACAAAAAAAGTATTTCCACATTGTGAACTAAGCTGAATTCAACCAATGTTGCAAACTGTGTTTATTTATCATTATAATTTATCAGTAAGTAAATTCTATCTTTACTCCCTCAGTTTAGAAGCCAAATGTGGATCAAATGCACTGAATTTCTGATCATTGTCAAATGATGGCATCTGCAATTAGCAAGGCAATCAGCAAGGCTTATAAGGCTATTTCAAATAATTTGCAGTCCATCATTCTTTAATGAGAAGATTAGAGCATGCTATGTTCAGAGATATACCAAAAACCTAGAAGCTCTATTGTCACAGGCCAGATTTAACATGTTAAATACATATGTAATAAAGTTTTTGCCAGAACAACTTTCTTCTCTTTAAAAACAGCCTGACGGCATCAATTAGGTTTGCAAGATGTCATCTAGGTTTTTTTTTTCATGTATTGATATAGACAAAAGGAAAAAAAAACGATTTTGGCTAAAATCCATTGCAGCATGTTTGGGAAACATTATAGGTTTCTTCTTGCAGCCAGTTAATGACTTGACTTATCTTCTGCATTTGTAAAATTTGTGAAAAAGGAAAGTACAAAGGTGCTGAAAGGAAGTTAAAGTTAGCATGGTTGAAATGCTATAGCTGCACAACAATGGTCTGCTAACATCCATGAAATTAAACAAATTTGTAAAGATCGTTAAACCAAAACTCCTCTAAGAGGGTGTGAGAAACTGATAACGTAAAACAGAATAAAACTAGGTGAAGGCTGCTTAATATGCTTAGAACACTCATATTAACTACTTCTGTATTTTTATTTATTTATTATTAAAACCAATTTAAAGTCATTGCTATATTTTTGAAGATGATCTTCTTGTTTTCTGATTGTATGACTTGATGAAGACCAGATTACTCACTTCTGAGTTTCTGTTATGTAAAATGTCTAACAGAAAACTTACATTTTCTCTATGACTGTCATGTTATGATCTTTAAACATACAATTAGGCATTAGAAAAGTTTGTAGCTGGCTTACCTTCATCCAAGTAAACGGAAAGATTTTAATGTTAAACAAGTTTGTTACAGCTTATCTGCAAATATATCACAAAGATAGCCATCATTTCAGTTCAACATTTTTTTTTCAGGTTTTACATTACAGTATAAGCCTGTGTTTTAGAGTAATAAAACATTTGCAATGTTCACATGCTCTAACATTTCCACCTCGGAAGAGTGGTGTTAAGTGTGAACGTGAGACAACTCTGTGTTTGAATCTGAATCAAAGGAAAAAGAGAGAATCAAAAGGGAAAGTGCATCAGTTTACCCCTTATGAAGCTTAAAAAATCCTTCCCTCTCAGGTCCCATTATTGCAGAAGAGAAGAAGTTCAGTATAAGATAGTGCTCATAAAAAACGAGTTCCAGTTAATGTTGCTGTTGACCCCAAATGCGTACAAGAGCATGATCCAGCTCAGGTGGAGTGTCCAGGTGCTCTGAGTTCATTGTAGTTCAGCTGCCTTTGGGGCAAATAGTGTGAACATCAGCATCCTTCGATCAGTTTTAAACTTTCTCCACGTTTTTATCCTATCTTTCAATTGCTTGGTCTTCACTTATTTTTTTTTCATTATTTAAAATGACTTGAATGTTTATCCTACATCTTCCCACTCTTCCTTATCTTCTCTTAATCTACTTATCCCTCACTGTCCTCCCCTTACCCTACTAGCCAAAACACATTAGCATAGTGTCCAGTCAGCTGGCTGGGTTTGTGTCACATGCCCGTGGAAGACAGTCCACGCCCTGCTGCCTTGCTCATGCAGGGTAAACCCTGCGCTCCAGCTTTTGGGAAATCATGCGCAACCACTCTCCCGTTTTCACCCCCACATCCGGATGCTCCTCCACTGAAACCTCCAGCCGTGACACCCCCGACTCCACTTGCCATCCCCCCGAGGCTGGTACTCATCATGGCTGCATCAATGAGCTCCTGCAGGCAGAGGGTAGATAAGAACTAAAAGTTATTTTCAGAACTACATATTCCAGCAAAGATCATGGCGGAGATTATTCCTTTCAATCTTTACCTGAAACATAAGGCACTGTTCGCTATGCGGGAAAATTTGGCTCAGTTTTTTTGGGGTCAAGTAAAAAAAAAAAAAACAACAACACCAAGTCTGAATGCAATATGTGCCCCATATCCAAATTTTAAATATATTTAAGCCACCTTCATACATGGTCCTGAAACTTGTACCTGATGTTTTGAAAAAGACTACAGTGGGAACAACCAATGTAAAAAAAATTTTAAATTAAACAAACTCTATACAAAGACTCATTGAGGTACAAAAAACATTGCAACATAGGTAGGTAAAAGAAAACAAAACATGGGGCTAATACTAAAGAGAAACATATAAACTGTAAGGCAAATGAATAAAATATAAAATATTTACTGGATATACAACTGTAACTGGAGCGTGTAACAAAAGTAATTTCCCTCTGGGATTATTAAAGTATTTATGATTCTGATAAAAAAGACCAAGATTTAAAAAAAAATAAAAAAGGTAGAGATACTTTTATTTTACTTTTTTTGCATAAACTTTCAAATGCTTCATGAGGTTTAATGCGGTTTAAATTGGATCAATGCAGATTTGATGCACCTTGAATGTTATCTTTCATAAACAGTTGTTGCTGAGGGAAGTAAACACAGTCAGCAAGATGATTAAAAGCTGTGGCAACACTGTACGGTGAAGGACAGTGATATGTTAGACCTTATTAATAGGGAGTGGAAGCACAATTCAAGCCCAATTGGAAAGCTCATAGAAAAACTATTTTGAATAGGATTCAGCAAACGGCCTTGCAGAATATATGCAAAATCCTACTAAGTTGCCCTTGACAATCAAAAGTTCAGAATGAATTGACATTGACATCCCTGTCCCATCATCCTATACTGTGTCCCTCTATCCAATCAGTCCATCTATCCAAATCATAACATCTATTTCTTCCATGTTTCTTGAACTAAAAGGTGTTATTCTGCCCATGGGGTTCAGTGTGAAGCCCCAAACAGTTTACATTGAAACGAAAAACGGGCAACATTTCAAACATTCTTTGAACAACCAACAAATAAAACAAAAGATTTCGGAAAAATCCATTTGAATATTTGCCTCACCAATGTGATGTCAAATGATGAATAAAGAGCAGGTTTTAGAGACACTAGTAAAAATTTGACATGTATTAGTAAATTAACTTTTTTGTGGTAAACAAAACATTTTAAATCCCAAATAAACTTTTAAAATATGATCCAGCAGCAAATATTTTGCACTTTGTAGAAAATTTAACCCCAAATTTGCTCTTTAATTTACTCCACAAAATGCATTAAAGTTTATATCAAGCCAAAAAAAATCCAAACCCAGCTCGACGGACATTTATGTGTTAGGGAGATTTCTGTATTGAGCAGGGGTCCGCTTC